TTTTTTTTTTTTTTTTTAACTTGGTAAGTGTATATTTGATTTGGTTATTCTTTTCTCTTAGTACACATTCCTTCTTAGTTTGGACAAGTATCAATCTTACCATATTATAATTTTCTCTCATATTTTTCTCATAATTTACAATTTACAAATTACTTTCTGTATTGTATATTCCTCTTTTTTTTTCATCATTTAGTCCATAAAATTTTTTAAATAAAAACTTATTTTAGCAATAACTTTTATTATATATTTCTTAACTCAACACCGTATATCACACGTGTATTATACTAGTGAGTGCTTAACTATCAAACCTGACGAATCTTGACTACCAGCCTACCGTTTCTAAAAGAAGTGAACTCAATATTATTACTAATATTTATTATTATTATTATTAGTACGTATCCCGTGCCACGCACGGTACAAAGATATTAAATAAGTTATTTTCACAGGCTTTGATTTTAAGTCTAAAAAGCAATATGTTATAATTTATTTTCCATATTCTCTTAATCAGCGTTAAGTTTGAAAAACGATAGGGTTATAATATATTTTCCACATTTTTTAATCAACATTTTTTTTAACCTGAACATTAAATATGAGCATGTTAAGGCTAGCTTGTAAAATAATTAATATATTATCTGAATAACATTAATATATTTTTAACCTGAACATTAATATATTTTCCACATTTCAAATGATCATTCTCTCTTTGAGAGTAAAATTCTCTCTTTGAGAGTAAAATTCTTCTGGTGGGAGTGTATTTTCTTGGGATCTTTTCTATCAGGAGTTTCGTTTCTTTCAGCGGTGGTGTTTTTTTTTTCCTTGTTGTTTTGCTCTGGGGAGGAAGGGTGTGGGTTATCTAGGGTTTCGCTGGGGGTTGTAGGTATGGGAGATAAATCTGGAGAAGTTGATAAGGGGGGTGAGATGGGGGACGAGGTGCTACGGCAGCTCAATGCCTTTTGGGGGGATTGAGCTCAAGGTGGAGGACGTCAAAACAAGTGAAGCAGAATGTGAGCGGAGTCTTTTTGGTAAAGTGATTGGCGATAGACCGACCAGTATGGTGGGTATCAAGCGCACCATGAGCAGCATTTGGAAGTTACAACAGTCTATGGAGGTGAAGGAGATCAACTCGATTTTTTTTTCAGTTCATTTTCTCTTCTCACGAGGACAAGATCAAAATGGCGGCTGGTAATAACTGGTTGTACGAAAATCAGTATCTCATTTTAATGGACTGGTTCTCAGGTCTTAACAGTTTGCACAAATGTTTTGATGAGATTACAATTTGGGTTCAAGTAGTGAACGTGCCGATAAAATGGATGAGTACTGAAGTGGGCATGAGAATTGGGCAGATATTTAACAGAGTTAAGAATGTGCTCGTGTGTAAGGTAGGAGGGGAATAGGGGAGCTTCTTAAAAATTCTGGTGGTGCTGAATTTGAAGGAGCCCATACCGAGGTGCACGACTGTTAAATTAGGGGAGCAGAGGGTGATGGTTGCGTTTCGGTATGAGCGGCTGGTTAATTTGTGTTACTATTGTGGTAAAATAGGTCATCTCGACAGGGGGTGTAAACGTAGAGCTGATGATATCGAGCATGGTTCTCCAGCTGAAGGTCAATATGGAGAATGGTTAAAAGCAAAGGAAACTTATCATGGAGGGAGAAGTTTCCAATCAAGCAGCTCTGAAGATAAGGCTATTCTCCCGGAGCAGAATTTAAATCAGGAGTCTCTTGTGTCTGCAAGCACTACTCCTAGTAAATCTGTTAAGCTTCAGGCTAAGGGTACAAAGGTGTATCTTGAAGAGAAAAGGGGTGCATAAATTAGCCTTGAAATGAATCCAGCAGGGGGAGGTGTAGTGTCAAGCCCTAATGGTTGTACTGAGGATGATCTTGAACTTCCTATGGAGATTGAATCTCAAGGTGTGCAACTTGTTGAAAACTCTACATTGGCTTCTCATTGCAAGAATGAAGGTGCTCCAGGGGGAAAGTCTGTGTCTTCTTGGAAGAGGAAACATAGTAATGCTGGTAGGCTTCTGAAACTGTTTGAAAAGGCCAGAGAAAGTGAATTAGTTCAAGAATCAGCTAAGGAACTGAAGGAAGCAAAGTCTTTAAAGAGAATCAGAGAGGCTATTGTTGATGAAGGGGACATACAGAACCAAGGGGGAGAAATCTCTGGGAAGAAGCTGAAAGCTTTGAGTACTGACTCTTAGGTGGAGAAGGCCAACCTTAAATGGCCCCGAGGTGACCAATGAAGGCTATGGTGTGGAATTGTAGAGGATTGGGTGGGCCCTCTACAATTTCCCAAATCAAGGATTCCAAACGAGTCCACCACCCTAATATAATATTTTTATCTGAGACTAAGAAATCTCGGGCCTTTACCAATACTGTATGTAGGAAACTTGGTTTTGAGAACATGTGGCATTTGGAGAAACCTGATGGCATTAAAGGGGGACTGTTGGTTATGTGGGATAATGATACTGAGATTAGGCAAATTATTGCCAATGACTTTTGTTTTTAATTAGAAGTGAAAGGTGCTGGTGTTAGGGAGTGGTGCTGGTTGATATTTGTCTACATGAGCACTGAAAGGGCTGACAGGGTGAGGCAATAGAAGTACCTTGAAAATTGCAAACAAAGCTGGGGGGGATGTTGGGTTTTTGCTGGAGATTGGAATGATATCACAAGTAATGAAGAGAAGAGAGGTGGTATTAGAAGGCATGAGTCCAGTTTCAGAGGGTCTAAAGCTTTTATTGACAACATGAGGATGATAGAAATGGAGCAGAAGGGAGCCTTCTTCACTTGGGGCAATAATGGGGTTGGTGATGGCTATGTTGAAGAAAGGCTTGATAAAGTATTCATTTCTCATGACTGGATGATGGCCTTTCCCCAAATGGAGGTTATCAATTTTTATAGGACAACTTCAGATCATAATGTGATTATTTTTGACATAGAGGTGACAGCTGTAAGAAACAAGAAGAGATTTCTTTTTGATAGTTCTTGGGTGAAGGTGGAAGGTGTGCAAGAAGCAGTCCAGGCAGGGTCGCAAATTCTTGTAGCTGGGTCACTTATGTACCAAGTCCAACAGAAGATCAAGAGTACAAGGATGGCTTTGCTAGCATGGCATAAGCCTATTCACAAGAATAATGAAAGGACAATCAGAGTCATCACAATAAAGTTGGAGGAGATGAGATTGGAGGGGCAGGAGAGGGATTGGGAGGAATGGGGAGTGCTGAAGGTTGAGCTTGATTGGGCCCACAAGGAGGAAGAGAATTTCTGGAAAATGAAGTCTAGAGCATTGTGCTAAAAGGGGAGGGACAAGAACACTCGTTTTTTTCATGCTTCTACTGCACAGAGAAGGAAGACAAACTTGATTCAGAGATTGGTGACCAGTTCAGGTGCTATTTGTGACTCCAATGAGACTATTGCTAATCATATGGTGGAGTTTTATTCTTCTTTATTTACATCTGAAGGCACCAATGGGGGGGAGGAGCTATTACAGTATGTCCCCCACTCCATTGCGGCAGATTCAAATAATTTGCTTATCCAACCTGTTATTGAGATGGAGATTAAAAATGCTCTGTTCCATGTGGATTCTGAAAAGGCCCCGGGGGAGGATGGTATGTCAGTTTCTTTCTTTAAGCATTTCTGGAGTATTATCAAAGTTGATGTGTGTAATGCTATTAAAAGTTTCTTCAGTTCTGGGAAATTGCTTATAAATTGGAAGCATACTGTTATTACCTTGATCCCTAAGTGTTTATACCCTGATTCACTGGGTAACTATAGGCCTATCTCTCTGTGTAATGTTCTCTACAAAATTATAGCCAAAGTGTTGGCTGAGAGGCTTAAGGTATGCCTGAATGATTGCATTAGTAATGCCCAGACTGCTTTTGTCCCGAGGAGAAATCTTCTTGATAATGTTGTTATTGCACATGAGGTTTCTATTTTTTGCATAGGCATAGATCAGGTCCTCATGCTTTTATGGCTGTTAAACTTGATATGGAAAAAGCATACGACAGAGTGGAATGGGAGAGTATTAGGAAAATCATGTCCATGATGGGTTTGCATGGTAAATTCATTAAGTGGATTATCGGTTGTATTTCTGATCCTACTCTCTCTTTCAATCTGAATGGTGTGAATTGTGGGCTTGTCAAGGCTACTAGGGGGATCAGGCAGGGTGACCCCATGTCCCCATATCTATTAATACTGGTATCTGAGGTGTTCTCTTCTATTATGCACCATAAGATCAATGCTGGCCATTTCAGGGGGATCAAGATTGCAAAAAATGGGCCCATGCTGTCTCATTTACTGTTTGCTGACGATGCATTAGTTTTTTGTAAAGCTGATGAACAACATGCTAGATCCTTGTTGGATATTCTTCAGAAATACCAAGGTTTTACAGGGCAGAA